TCTCTGCCATGACATAAAGGGTTGGAGCAGGGAGGAGAGTTACAGCTATGGACTGGTACGGGAATGACTGCAGTGGTTTTCACCTTTTTAGGCATAAGGCACCACTGGATAGACTTGAGGCACCCATTGAAAAATACCAGCTCTTAGTATTCCCCTTTTTGCCTGAAGAAAAATATCATAATAGAGCAGTTTTGCTCTTGCAAACTCAGAAAGACCACAGCTATGGATTCCCATTTGAAATCTCTGGGTTTGTCTTGTGAATCATGTTTGCACACCTAGCAGTGCTAACATTGCTATATCAGCTATATCTCAACCCTGGCTGAGGATCACTGGCTGACTGTGCAGCGCTGAATTCCTGTGTGCAGGTCTGCAGCCTACAGCAGTGGTTTTCAACCTGGGGTCTGCAGATTATGTCTAAGGGACCTGCGAAAGATGCCTATGATCAAACAAAAGTACGCGAATGCCCACACTTACACTTCAAAGCGGTCCGCCCCTCCATTCGAATTTTTTAGGGGTGCACAAATGAAAAAAGGTTGAAAACCACTCTAGGTCAGACTTATTAATTGCAAGGAACCCTTCTGGATTTAACATGGAAGAAATAATGAGATATTCCTAGATTATCTCCTTGTTTGCCTATTATGGGCTGTCTTCTTCCTTTAGGCTGTGAGCTCTCTGGGACAGATGCAGTGTTTTCCCCTGTGCCCTGTGGTGGTGCTACCGAGATAGGAGCAATGCATGGTAACTACCTCCACAAAGAGCTTTGAGAACAGCTGTGCAAAGGCCAAGCAGCATTTGTCCCTCATTGGGGAAGGTCACAGCTGTGTCCAGCCCTCCCAGAGGTGTCTAGGCTTAATAGAGATGGTTCCTGCCTCCTGGGTCACGCACTAGTCTGCTTCTATGCAGAAAACACAATGAAGTCTTGGAGCTGCTGTCTCAAATCATTGGTGTCTTAATCTAGTGTTATCTCCCCTTCCTGCCACTGCAGTAGGGTCCCTTGTGGTGCACAGAGACAAGCTGGAGGCTTTTACTCGGGGAGACGCCTACCTCCATCCATCCCTCTCTCCACAAGCATCTGCTAATGGTACAGCTGCAATGAGACATAATTGCAGTGGGACATCAGCTGGACCATCACTGATTGATTAGAGTCAACCCTAAACTGGGATGGCAGGGGCGGCGGGAGGCTGGGCTGTGTGTGTGTAGCCCTGCTCAGACCTCCTCTAGCCGCCCAGTCACAACTGTCCTTTGTTTGCTGAATTAACTGCTGTGGGTCTGTGCAACCGGGCAAATCTGTCACATCTGCACTTATCACCCCCCATGCACACACATACTAGTATTGAGCTGTGTTGGGGAGGGAGGAATTAACGCAGCCTCCAGTGGGAGCTGCTTCGATTGGCATCCCCAAGAGGTGCCGGTGATGTCCGTGGTGCTCCCTGGGGTAGATCCTCGTGCTCAGAAAAGATTGTTTCTCAGGGCCAGCTCCTTGTCAAACCTGGCAGCTTGACCAGCCATGCTGTGAGTGGGTCCAAATGGAAATGGCTGGGCAAGGTGGCGGGAGGGTGGAGAAGAGGAGCCCTGTTCTGTTGCACGCTGCTGGCTCGGGACCGTGGCATCATGCTTCTTTCAGCACCTCTGCACCGGGTGCATCTTTGCATGCTTCTGCCTGTACCAGGACAGGGGATTGCACCGGGCTCTGCTGGTCTAGCATGTGTCACAGCCTGTCCGGAGCTGTAGGCCTGGCCTCCAGCATGCTTGAAGGCTTCTGAGCACCTTACAGGGCACAGAGAACAGCAAAGCCCCTGCTTGCCCTGAAGAAATAAAGCTCCTTGGTAGCTTCCTCTGGCCAGGCTCTTGACTGCAATGGCACATGAGGGGTAGGTAACGTGCTCTCTTGGATCCCCCAACCCTTGCTCAGTGCACTTGGCTTTTACTCCGTGCCCATCACTGCGCATATCCAAACACCCTCCCACCAGCCCTTCTGCTTTCTTTCCCCTTCAGGCTCCTGCTGCCTTTAGAAGCCCTGTGCCAGGGCGAGCAGCACCAGGCTCTCGCTGCGATACCACCCCATAGTGCCCGCTGAACCGGGGAAGCAGTACGGTGCCCCGGTGCCCTGCGCCTGCTGTGATTGCTGGCCAGACCCATCAGCGCCCTCCACTCCCGTTCTTCTCTGTGTTGGCAGCAAATTGGAATCAGCTCGTGGTTCCTTCCACATCCCCGCATCTGCCTGGCGCGCTCGCTGCCTCCCTTTGCCGTCTCAGAAGTGGGGTCAGTAAGACCGCTCTCTCTCTGCCTCCCCTCAGCCCCGCTGAGTGGCAGCCTGATTATGCAGTACACAGTCACACTCCTGCTCCGTGGAACCTGCTCAGCCGCCCTGCCCGTCCTGCATTTCATATTCACACGCGCTCCCTCTCCCCCTCGCTTCATGCACCCTCTAATCTCAGAGCTAAACAGGCTCATCTGCATTAAAAAAAAAAGAGTGAGAGAGAAGGAGAGGAGTGAGAGCAATGGCAAGGGAAGGCACACGAGCACCTATCCAGAGAGCTTCATAAAAATGATAAATTGCTTTTAGATATTGGGCAGGAGAGAAAGAGAGTTCTTTTTTATTTGACGATATTAGTCTCTTAGCGGCGCATTGTTGCCGTGCATATGAACTCAAAAATCTCAAGGCAGTCAAAGCCAAGCGCCCGGGAATTGAAGTGTAAATGAGCCACTGCCGGGCTTTTTATTTTGCCTTTTATGATTTCTCTCTCTCTTTCATTATGTAGGTCAGTCTCCATTTCTAATGTATATTGTGGATATAGGCTACATCGACAGGTGTGTGTAGAGGGCAGCAGAGGTGTGTGCTGGAAGCGTGTGAAGGAGCATGTGTGTGGTTGCATGGTAGAAACGTGCACTTCCTATGTGTGCATGCACTGTGTGTACAGCGAGAGGGGTGAAATGCGGACACCACTCTGCTTGTGCCCTGGGACGCTACAGAGAGGGGTCACCCAGCTGGGACATCTCTTCCAGTCACCGTGGCCAGGTGTTGCTCACAGTCCTCCCTGCATCTATCCGAGTTTGTGCGTAGTTGCCTCTTTCCCCACCTCCTCTTTAAAAATTACCTTCCCTGATACATTAGCAATTCAGATGCTGAACTGGTCTGTGCTGGCTGCTCTGATTAGTGTATGTGATAAAGAGATTTGTGCATCTCCTATTAGACAGGCCCCCACTCTCTGCCATGTGATTCCAATTGATTTGCATACACTGTGATGAATAAAAAAGTGTGTGTGTGTCTAGGTAGATGAGGAAATGTTTTCTGCCCCAGCCTGACTGGTGGTACAAAGCAAGGATACTTCCTTTTCTTTCCCTCTCCTGCTTTTCGGTTAATCACTTGTCTCTTCCATTTTGATGGACGTTAGCAGCCTGTCCTCTGTGGAAAAGGGCTCAGGACACCTCAATCCTAGCTGGAGGGCTTGGTCGAGCCAAGAGTCTCTCCGCAGCCAGGCTAACATCACTCCCATTGCCTTCACACCTGCCTGCGGTAGTGTTAGCCTGATGGAAGAACCAGAGGCCCCAGCTGAAGTCCTCGGCCCCACAGTGCTCCATGCCATGATGCACCGTCAGGGACAGCTCCGTTTTCCTAGAGCTGCTCATCTCAGCCCGCAAGATGGACAACGGGTGGGAGGGACCCAGAGCCTCCCGGGGCCCGTGTCATTCTGACCCTAGCCCTCTAAATCACCCCGTCCCTCCAGTCCCAGGGGACACTCCACCTCTGCCTCCTGCCCAGGGCTGTTGCTGAGACCCTTTCCCAGCTCTAGATTTATTACCACTTAGCAGATTGCTTTCCTCCATCAAGCCATTTTTGCTGCTCGGCCGGTGGCAGGCATGTTCTCTCACATGCCTATCGCCAGCTCGTTCTGGTTTGCATGGTGCCAAGATGCAGAGTTCAGTCTTGCCACCCAGCAGTGCATGGTCTTAGTCCCAGCAAAGAAAACCCGCCAGCCCCAGACAAGACAGACCAGCACCGTAGACACTAGCTCGCTGAGCCCATGCCAGGTCCAGTCCTCGGTGCCCTTATCCTCATCCCTCCAGCTCCCCGCATCCAGGGTACGTGTACATAGGTCCAGGCTGCAAATCCAAGGGCCAAATAAAGGCTTGGGCTGTCTCTTCTTCCTCCCTTTGATGTCCCATTGGTGTCAGGAGTATCTGTCAGGGGGCTTATTTTTTCTACTGCCCCATGCATACTTCCTCCTGTTCACTGCTGAGGGGCTGGGGAAGCGTGAAGCCCGACAGGAGCCTTGGGCACAGAGCAGGCAGCAGTGCCACAGCTCACTGGCTGTGAAGGCAGCTGTTGCCTGTGGTCTGTGCCACCCTAGATGGCACTCGATGGGGCGGTGGTGATACCCGTCCATGATAGCACAACGGTGCACAGCATCTGAGCTGCTTCTGCTCTGGGGTGGGGGCACGGGTGCAGATGCAGAATTTGATGGGGGAAGAGGGGTGTTACTATTTGTAGCCTGATCCAAAAACCATGGAGGGGACAGACCTCAGGGGACAGGCTATGGCAGGCCATGGATCCAGCTCTCTGGGGAACACCACAGGAGGAATTGATGTCCCTTCAAAGGACACCTGCTCCCGGCAGTTAAGTGAATATGCAGGAAAAGCCTGGAGTTGGGGACTGGTGCAGGGGAGCAGCGAGAGACAGGAACTGCAAATCACCGTCCCAGTGTGACCAGCTTCCCAGCCTGCTGGTGGTGACTCCCCACCATTCCCGCTTAGCGGGGAGGCTGGAGGAAGAGCTCCAAGCACCGATGCTTTCCTTTCCCAGCTGGTCCCCTGAGAGTGTCCCAGCTGCCCATCCTTCAGGGCTTGAAGTGAATAGACAAGCCCTACCCCAGATTCAGGACCCCGAGGGTCTGGGCTTTCGTCCTTCATTGCTGTGGCTGCTGGACCCTTCTCCTGCAGTGCTCTGTATGTCCAGGTCAGCAAGCCTCAGCTCATCCCTGTCCGTCTCTGTCCCGTAGCATGCCGAGGAATGCTCTGTGGGTTCGGAGCTGTGTGCGAAAGGAGTCCCGCTGACCCATCCCAGGCCTCTTGCGTCTGCAAAAAGACCACGTGCCCCTCAGTGGTGGCTCCTGTCTGTGGCTCGGACTATTCCACCTACAGCAACGAGTGTGAGCTGGAGAAGGCCCAGTGCAACCAGCAGAGGAGGATCAAAGTCATCAGCAAGGGACCCTGTGGTGAGTCGTGCTATCTCTGTCCTCCCCAGGACAACCATGGGTCGCTCCCGGAGAACACCGAGGCAGGGCATTTGCACTGCTTATCCTAGAGCCCCAAGCAGCTTGCAAAGAGGATGGATAACACTGTGAAAGGGAAGGACTAATTACTTTATTACATCTATGGAGGCAGTCAAAGGGCCTCCCCATGTCCCTACAGCCTCTGCAGAGCCAGAGACTGCCATTCACTTGCTAGGAAGCAAGAGCCTGAGAGACAAGCACAAAGCAGATGCATCTGAGCAAGCCCCTGCCTCGAGAGCAGCTATTTCTCGGGGAGGCAGGGTGAGGAAGGCTAATGAAAGCCCTTCCCCAGTCTGGCATGCACCAGCTGCGAGCAAGGAGCTGTGTAAATGAGACCCCCACCCCCTTGCCTCCCAGTAAATTAAGTTGACCTTTCCCTCGCGCACCGCGCTGGCTCGCAATAAATCTCGGCGCGGTGGCCCTGCTGGGGCGCACGGCGGAGGGGCTGGTGCCACGTGATGTATTTTAAATAAGAATCATAAAAAAGGGACAAATTAAACCAAAAAAAAAAAAAAATAAGCGGGCAAATAAATGTGGGTCCATCCCTGTCAGCAGGGAAATGGCTTCTTGCACTCTTTCTCTAATTACATTGTGCTGAGGGGACCCTAAGGAGCTTGGGCCACCATGTTGGCTACTGGAAGTATCTCTCCAAGAGCTCGTGCAGGGAAGATGATCTGCAGGATATGGAGATAGGGGAGCATCGGGGTGGGAAGTCAGCTTCCTGCGACGAGTAGTAGAGGGACTAAGCCGACAAAACATGGTGTGCCCTCAGTCATTCTGGCAGGCAGAGCGGGCAGGGAGGAGCTGAGCCATGCCCAACACTGGTGGGAAGCCGGGCATCGATTGCCAGTAGAAGGCAGGGCTGGGCGGCCCCTGAGACTAACAGGTTCAAAGAGGCACCAGCGTGCCTGAGACTTGAAACCCCACTCCAGCCAAGTACTGAAGCCCGTTGTCCCTCCAAGTGTGTGAGCAAGTCCCATGAAAATCAGCAGCACTGCTCGTGGGCAGAACATTAAAGCGTTTCAGAGCCCTGACAATGGGGGTTGAGCCCAACAAAGAGCACGACGTAGGGTCTAGAGGCTGGGAGCAGGCAGCCCTCCCCATCCCACATTTGCAACAGGCATCAGGACACAGCTGAGCAAGTGCAAGAGTTGGTGGCTGGTGAGCCTGAACCATGACAACAATGCCCTGGTCTTCCCCAGCACATCAGGATTACGAGTCTCTGCCTGTCTGAGACGCAAAGGGCCAGGCGGGCAGGCAGCATCACCTGGGCATGTGCCTGGCATGGAGCAGAGAAGATCCAGTCCTTGTCCCACCCCTTCTGCACAGGCTGCTGAGCCAGGCTGATGCTGGACCCCTCTCACTCTACATGCATGTGCTCACATCTCAGGTAACCTGAGCCTTGCAAGCTCCAGGCTGCAGACAAGGATGTGCAGAGGATGGGTGAATGATTTGGGTGACAGCTCTGTCCCTAACCCGCCGCTGGCTGGGTGCTTCTGGAGGAAACCCATTTCAACTTGCTCACTGCTGGGCTGGGAAAAGACTCCTGGCATTAATCCCAGGGGCTGAGGGGCAAGGATGGCCGCCGGCTCAGCTCACAGCCCTGTATCCTTCCTCCCCCGGTCCCACCCGGCAGGTTCCAAGGACCCCTGTGCGGAGGTGACGTGTAGTTTTGGCAGCACCTGTGCCCGCTCTACTGATGGGCAGTCGGCCAAGTGCATCTGCCCGTCCTCATGCCGCGGGGTGGCCGAGGGCACCGTGTGTGGCAGTGATGGCAAGGACTACCGCAGTGAGTGTGAGCTCAACAAGCACGCCTGCGATGCACAGCAGAACGTCTTCAAGAAGTTCGACGGGCCCTGCGGTGAGTCCTGGACCGGGATGGGGAGGTTGATACACAGGCCCAAGGCTGGGGTGGGGGGGCACAACACTCTCCAGGCCAGCTCTGACTTTTCCATTGGTTGTAGGATTTGTCATTCCAGGCTGGAGCACATCTTTCCCATGTCATCTTTCCAGTGGCTGCAAGGAGGGAGGGGGACATCCTGGGCTTCAGCTGTGGGAGTTGAAACCCCTTTTGGGTGGGAAACCTGGTAGAGGCTTGGTAAGGCAAGCAGGGGCATGGTAAGGTAGGTGGGAATTTGTAGTATGTCAGCATAAAAGGGGAAGAAATGCAATCCAGTGTCTACCTTTGCTGCTGAGAACAAATCGGCGCCAGGCAGGTATTCCGTCTTGGCCAAAAAGTAGCAACAATAATAATATTTAAGCCGAGAGCTTGGGAAAGGATTAGCAGAGAGCCAGTGTGTGTTGTGCCCACTCTTTAGTATGCTGCTGA